AAGAAGGGGGGGTACAAAGGAGGGCTGAAGGTTTGCGCATGCAGATTTACGCTGCCTTGGTGGAAAGTACGCTAGCATCAGTCCGTTCCACGGGGGAACGGGAATGCGGGACATAAAGCTGCACACAGCGACTTTAAGACCTCTTTTGGGCAAGACCTGAAGTGCGTAAACCTGTGTAAAGATCGATTGTGAGACGTTTTTGGGCAGGACCTGAGTGCACACATTGAACTGTAAATATCGACACCAATACCTACTGTAGGATTTTTTCAAGACAGGACCTGAATCCGTACAACATATTTTAACACCGGCATGAGCATCGACAGGAAAACTTTTCGGGGCTGGACGGCGTGACTTGGATCCACACAACTTTTGTGCTAAAACAGCCCTCTAAACCTTTTGTTCATGCCATGCCTTACGCCAGAGTAACTCTTTACTTAAATGCTCTCGGGCCATCCGCCGTCCAGCTGAGGCGACGTGTGCATCAATTTTTACGCCAAGAGGTGCCTGGCCAATGAATTCGCCCCACTTTCCTTTCGGAGCCATGTTTACCGCAAGAAAGCAGAGCAATGAAACAACGGGTAGCGGAGTGCCGCAGCAATTCATGACAATTCATGGAATGCTGTTGTGTTTTTGCCGGGAAATGCCGCAGGGTAGTGGCTGCCTGGTGACAACTCGACTATTTGACAGCCTGGCTGCCAATCCCAGCCGTTGCTCAGTCTTCCACGAATGTCCTAATGTGGTGCTTCGAGTGCAGCTGCACTTGGAGGCTCGCCCAACGCAACCCAGCGGCCCAGCGTAGAAATGTCTTGCCTCGACCTGTACCTTTCATGTGACACGAACTGAACTCCGGGCCACCTAAATTTGGCTCCATCCTTGTTACGCAGACAAGTGCTGTATCCCTGGAAGCCGAAGCTTGCCCAGAGTGGAAGAGATTTGGAGTGATGTGCCCAAGTTTGCAGCTGGGCACATTTTGCCGCGTGGATTTTCTTTTGGTTTAGGGCATCGCAGAGCTTGAAAAACTTGAGACACCAGCCCTTTGTCATGTGCTGCTTTCGGTTAGCCTTTGGCGAACCCGATGAACCTCTGTCGACCGCTGCGATTGGATTGCTTGCCGGTCCGTTTTCTTCCAAAAAATGAGGGCGGTTCCCTTCACTCCCTTCAGCATAAGAGCACAACGATCCAATAAAAGGACTCGAGTCGAGTGGTTAATGGTGGGGATGTAGCGACGTGGATCCAAGAGTCTGTGTGAGTGAGATCCTGGCCCCTTCCTTCAAGTGGAAACGTGATTGAAACAGAACGCACCTTTTCAACAGGTCGCTCAAACCCAACGCAGCTTTTCTACGACAAGGTCTACGACTGCGCCCAGCTTTCTCCACCGGCACCACCGGGCTCAAACGCAGCACGACCGATGCGAGGGGATCGATGGCCCTGTGCCTCGGTGGCACCGGTGGAGCGAGGCCAGGTCAACCGCAGCTTCCCCACTCGGCATCCCAGCCCACCTTGCTCAAAGGGATCCTGACTCCCATGTCTTGACACCAAGCAGACAAATGTAGAAAGAACATGGAATCATTTGTCATCTGACCTGACTTGCAGGGGTACTTGGACTTATTGGATTGGCATGCAACTACCACTGTTGTTTCCCGATTTCGTGTTGCAGATGTTTCAGTAAAGCCTGGCTCGCTCGCTCGCTCGTTTCCGATCTGGCGAACGACGACCACGCGCGGCGGAACGCGGTTGGCTGAGTGTGACACCTGCAGAACAAGCCCTGCAGAACAAAGCCCTGCCTCGATTCCAGAGACACTCCCTGTTCGGTTCCCCGAGGTAGGTTGAAGAACACATGCTGGATTCTGAGATGGCCCTAATTGTGCGGCAAATGCTGTACTCGACCGTGACCGTGCATGTGTCAGGCTCCTGCAGAAGTCGCGGAGCCCTACAAGTGTGGTGGACAATTCCTGCAGGCGAGCTGTGGCAGGTTTGGAAATGTGTTTTGTTGTGGCCACTTCCCAAGATAAATACGCAGGTTTTGTTGTGTTTGTTGCGCTTGTGGTGCCTTGCTAGGCCAAGAATTATTTGGATGGTTGCTTCTTTGCTACTGTTGATGGAAAGAATCCTCCAACATCATCGCTATGCTCCAGGGTGGGTGTAGTTACGAGACTCGTCGTGCGCTCGCAATGGTGAGGAAAGAATCCTCCAACTCCTCATATGGGGAAAATCTTTCTATCTCCAGTGTTTTGGTGTTTCCGGGTGATGCCATTAACCGTGGGAAGATGTTGCTTCCTTCATGGACTTGCTTCAAGTGAGGAAAAAAAGGGTGGAGTTGCTGTTGTCACCACTTCATTGCACAGGTTGGGATGTAAATCTTCCCTTCTACCTGGCTGTGGCTTGGGATGTCTTTCCTCTACCTGTGAGACGCCCGCCTGGATTCATCCCGCTGTCTCTTTTTGAGGCGGAGGCAGATGATGAATCCAAGCCCTCCTTCGCCATTTCCAGCCGCACCAGGAGGACCACAATCAATCCAGAGCATCTTTTCCATAGTTCGGGCCGTGTTTGGAGCTCAAAAAGTGGTTTGGGCCCGCTTGCATTCGCCCCAGATGCTTTGGAGTTTCTCATCTTCAGGATCTTTGGAGTTTCTCATTCTGCGGATGTGCCTTCCAATGATTGGATGTGCCAGGCAACGTGGGACGTGGAACGTGACGTGCAGGATCTGTAATGCCAAGCTCGAATGGAGGTACGGCAGGGGGGCTGACTCACCCTCTCTCCATCCAGAAAAACCTTTGAAGAGCTGTACGGTTACCGTGGTGGACAAATGGCAAACGATACACAAGTTGAAGGCACGGCCTCAGGACACGGCAGTGTCGGACACGGGAGCTTTCTCGGGGATGTTGTTTTCCGGAAACGTCTTGTTTAACGAGGACAAACATGCAAAACAGCTCCCCAAGCCTCCAGTGCTTTTGCCAAGGGGAAATGCCACTGTTGCTGTTGCCCAGTTAGCGATCTTTTTTGCTTTTCAATCGTTTTTTCCCTTTCTGTCATTGCCAATTGGAGGCAGCAGCACTGGAGATGTGTTGAAGGTGAGCCCTGTGATGGGCAAAAAGGCTTCGACACTTCCTGCCAGGCGAACCTGTTGAAGGACACAACAAGCAGTTGTGTGGCCTTTTTCACATAGATTGGAGGCCATCGCTAGTAGGTTGGAGGCCATTGCTTGTAGGTTGGAGGCCGTTGCTCTTAGGTTGGAGGCCATCGCGGTCGTAGGTTGTGTGGCCTCTTTCACAGGAGAAAACGTTGGAAGACCAGAGGTGATGACGGGTCCGTTCGTTCCCGTGACATTTTAACAAAAACCTACCACTGAGCCTTGTTTTGGAAAGAGCGAATGACAGAGCTGGATAGCTGTCCCGCACCCTTTGCAACCTGGCCTGTTGCTGAAACGCGACAGGTGCCAGAGAGGAAAGTGCATGCCTCAGCTGGTTGCGCGAACTAACGGTCACTCTGTTGGGGTTGCAGAAGTATCTACTTTGAAAAACATTGATCACAAACCTGTTTTCAAGTGTTTCAGGGATTCCTCCCTTCAGGATTCGCGCAGTTTGGTCGATTCTTCAACAGGAGACTTCCGTTACAATCGTTGACTTGCCAACCCAATTATCCTGAGATCTCTCTTTCCTTCTGGTATTCCTTGCCTTGGGTTCTCTATTGGAGGTTGGAGAGGCTCTATGCGTTTTCGCAGAGGCAGACACTACTGTCAATTTGCAAAGACGCTAGATTTTTCATTTGGACAACTAAACATAGATTCTTGCATCATGTCACCACGTTCCGCGTGACCCCGCTCCAAAAAATATCCGTTCTTCGCTTTTTCATCCCGTTCCGACCGTTTGGATTCACAGCTTCCTTTGGTCGGTTTCAGCCCGGAACCAGTTCGAGTTCGCTCAGGTCCAGTTCCTCCGTTCCCTCCAAACGCCCGACGCTCCGAGCTCGCTCCGAGCCCCCCCGAGTCGGGCCGCGCGCATAAGCGGCCGAAGCGCAGGTGGCGTCGCTCCGAGTGGGGACGAGGAGTTGGAGGCGGCTGGCAGGTGGGTGGGTTGGGGGGCATTTTGGGTGGGTTGGGGCACAAAAAACGATACTGTAGTCACTCGTTGTTGGTCGTAAGTCGTAAGCTTTATCGATTTAGCCACTAGTCAGACTAGTCACTATTCATTTTGAGGTGGAATGATGTGGAGACCAAGGTCACAGTCTCTACACTTTTTCATCTCTCATCACATGTCCTGGTGGGAACCCCAGCTGTTTTCACAGCCGTGTACTCTGGGTCGCCTGACCAGCCTGATCAAGCCTTTAGATTGCATGTTCTTCGATGTCGGCCACAACCGCCTCTCAATCCCTTCTTCTTCGCCTTCGGAGGTCCCGATCCAACGCAGACAACTCGCACACCGGATCCTTGGAAGGCATAAACGACCTCTTTTTTTGGCGAATGGTCAAGTTGTTTGGCTTTCCCATTTGAGCTCAACGAAAAGACATCTTCTGGAGAAGAAAGGAAGGTGGGCTCCAAACTGCAGATCCGAACCAATGTTTTTTGAACTGGTTGAACGTACTGAGCCTACACGTGGAGCGCGTTTCCCACAAGAATACCTTATTTACTCAGTCCTTACTATCCAACGAATTTCCATTTGTTCCTTTTTGGTGAACACTTCAACTTATCAACGGTCCCAGGGATACCCACAACTTTTTTCTGCGAATAACCATAACCCCTCACGGCCCATAACCTATACGACACTTTGCTCCCTAACCGGGACAGGGCGACGTGAGCATGGTGAGCCTTTGGATGCTCACGGTGCCGCAGGTGCTCGCCGCGTGAGGCGTGGGGGGGGGGGGCGAGCAGAGGAGCTTGCGTCGCTTGCGTCGTTGTGTGGAACGTCATTGTGTCTTAAAGCGAAGCGAGTATATAGCTTGCGTAGCTGCCTGACTGTTGCAGGAGATTGATCCGATGTGAGGACCCCGTTCGAGACAGTATGAAGTTGTTGCTGTGGCGGCTCAAAAAGGACATGACAGCAATGGCTAGGTCTTTCAATGGGACCACAATGTGTGGTACCTTGTGTGTTTTCCATAATTGACAGGATTCGTGTCGCAGTGGCCTGCTGAACTGCCACGAACACCATGCTCCTCAAAGGAGTGTTCCTTCTCATGTGCCTGTCTTCAATGGCCGCTTATCGGCCGGCCAAAGACAGGGCACTTCCTAATCCAGAAGATCTTTCTCATCTGAAGTCTGAAGAGGGACGTGTTGGACATATGAAAAACATTACCTTGCCAGCTGGCTACATCGGTTGGGTCGTGGAGCCATCCTCGGGCCTCATCGCAAAGGTCTGGCGCGGGGCGCCAGGAGCGGCGGTGGGATTGCAAGCGGGGATGCATATTGTCAAAGTGGGGAAAGAGGTTTACAGTTTCGCCGCTCTGTATGAAGATATCAAAAAGGCACAGGAGTTGGACCAGACCTATGAAATCACAGTGGTGGTGCCGTCCAATGCGGAAGAGAGAGCAGCATGGGTCCTCTATTGCATGTCAATGCCTGCAGGCCTTCTTGGCGGCTTGCTGACATTAAGTTTACCATGGTTGGCTTACAAAACCATGAGCAAAGGTTTGGACCTGAACAGCAAAGCTTTCACTTGGCCGGTGCTTTTTGCATTTGTGGGCTGTGCCATCGGGCATTGTTTGGGGAGAGCAGGCCGGGTCTTGCTCGAGTGGAGCTTCGTGACCTATGGAGGGAAGATGCTGCAAGTTGGAGAAGTGATCGTGGTCTTGGGGGTTTGTTGGGGATGCTTTGCCGTTTGCGGGAATTCACTGCTCAGCACACCATTGAGCAAGGCCATGTGTGCCATGTCGCGGCGCATGCAGATGGTGGCACTTGTTCCTTTGTGCATGTTTAGTCTTTGCAGGATTGCAGATGGTTTGTTGATGATGGATCGACCGACAAGCTTTGACTTTGTAGATGTTTTGCCACTTCAGCTGGGACTGGCAGAAGTTCAGATAGATGCTCAATACTTAATGCTCACTTTGTTAGCATCCCGCATTTGCATTGCCGCATATCAAAGAATGATTGAAGTTGCCGCAGTGCTGCCCGTGCCCGACAGTGCACCGTTCAGGGACTCTGTGCACAAGCCATGTGCCAAGCTCTTACAGGAGATCCCCCCAAACCTGTCGCCCTTCGGCTTGCCTGCAATGCTGATGTCCTCGGCCGGAATACTGTCCATAACCATCATAGCTTACAATCGCGTGGTGCAAATGCTGTCGTATTCTGCAGAGTTTTGGTGGTTGAATAATTGGATTCGACTACTAGGGCATGCTTGCTGGTTTACAAGCATTTCTCTCTCGGTGGCTTCTCCGCTGAGCATTCTCTCCTCAGCGCTTGAGGAACTCGAGAGTGGCCTCAATGAACAGCGACAGCAAGACCCATCTCGGCACCTTGAGGTAGAGGCAGTGGAGGCAATGCTAGCGAAGGTGGGGATGGAGCAGAACCCGGACATGATCTTTTCAGGATGGAGACACATGTTTCTTTTGCATTTGGCTTGGACTGTAAACATGAAACCCAAGAAAGACAATTTTCCAGAAGTGACCGGGTTGACGATGGGCAGTTTGTTGTGGCCACAGTAGGCATTTTTGCGAACAAACATCTCAGATCAATCAGATTGAATGGATCACCATCTTTGGAGGCGGTTCTTCCTGAAAGGGTCACTCCAGGGTCAAAGCCCGAATATTCAGTGACGTCAGTGTCACCCTCTTTCGACTGTAGCCATGCTTGTCTCTTCAATTATCTGTGTTTTCCAGCCAAAGACCGACAAGTTCCAGTGTCTCGCAAAGCTTGCTTTCCAGCCAAACACCACTGCAGGTTGATAACGGTGACACGGGAGAGTGCATACTGATTGACCAGGGTTGCGGGGCAGTCGTTCCTATTTAGTTTGCTTGAAGCTCTTGTTCTTGCCGTGTGGATTTGCCACGTGTTTTTCGTGTTACATTCCAAATACGGTGAGATCGGTGATGTTCCGCCCTCCGTTTGACACCGCATTCTGTTTTCCAAGACGCAGCATAAAGACCCATTCCAAAAACAATGTGTGAAGATGACAGAAGCTCACTCTCCCACGCCTGATGCTTGATGATGTTTCTAAAGATGCTGATGATGATTCTGATGGTGAGATTATGATGATGATGATGATGATGATGATGATGATGATTATAATTCTGCTGATAAGCACGAAGATGGTTTTACAGTTGAAGATGAAAGCAGCGTAAGTAACATCTTTATATATAAGTGACAGAAGCTCTCTCTCCCGCGCGTGATGCTCGGTGTGATGCAGGTGAACCATGGACAGGGATGGGGCATCCCAGTGGTCAAAGGCCTTGTTCTCAACAAGACTATGATTCAAGCACTGCTACTGCGAATAGTGGTGGCAGCAACGGTTATCAAGGCATTTCTTGACCGCCAGCTTGGCTTTCAGAAGGACTGGATCCATGCCGGAGCCAGACATCATGGTGATGAAACTCCCACCCCCCTTTTGAAAGATAGCTCCTCACTTCCTGCAAGCAAAGCGTGTGGGTTGTGGCAGATCGATCAGGAAACGTCGGATCTTCAATGTTCTGCATGTTTACGCTTTTCGTTGGGCTTCTTAGCCTAAACGTGTGAAGACACAAGCGTTGCAAACTTCTCCACCCATCAATCAGACCCGGGGTGGGGGCAAATCGTGCAAACCCAGGAGGAGAAAGATGACTTCAGTGCGGAGCTTGATGTCATAGCGAACCAGGCGGTGACGAACATCACCAATTTCATCAGCAATCAGACCTTGGGTAACCTGACGGCGCTCACTGCAGAGATTCTGAAGAACCGCAACTTCACGGCGTGATGCGTTGGTGAAAAGATGCGTCCGCAGAAGCACTCCTTGCATGTCATGTGCAGTTTAGAGTCTATTTCCTGCAACTGACAGTGGATTTGCAGAATCCGTTCCAGGTGCCGGAAGGCCGCGTTCGGCATTCAGAGGTCATTGAAGAGGCAGGTTCACCTGGGTGCATAAGAGGTGTCTTGGTTCAGCCCAGTGCAGTCCCATTTTGCTTGGCCGCGGATGTTGTGCCAGTCTTTTTGGCTCGGATGTTTTGTTTTCAAGGGCATGAAGATGCTTTGTCATCTCACTGGCATGTTTTGTCAGTTTGGGCATGTTTGATTTGAACGCCTAAACCCATCTTGAGTCCACACTGTAGTTGAAAGCTGAAACTCAAAACCCTGCAGCCATGTCGTTGGGTTCGAAGTAGTATGAGACAGGGGGCCTTGTTGACTTGGGACCGAATCTTTGGGTACCTTGTGTAACCAT